TTCGAATGCACAACGGGTATCAGGGGAAAGGGGAACCAAAGTTTAATCAAGAGATCATCGTCATCATCGGCAGCATGAAATCAATGTTCAACACTGATGCTCCACTGCCGTACAACCATTACTCATTTGGAACCTTTATTTTGAAGAAAAGAATAAAGGTGGATCAGGAAAGGACTTCGTGCTAGCTTGCTACAATCATTCTGAAGTGCCTACACATCCAGACACTCAGGCAATCTAGATAGAAACTGACAAGAACGACATTGACAACCATATCTTGCAACGTCTCCAACCAGGCACAGTGGGGATCCCACGGTCTCCATCCTGGCAGGCGACCAGCACCGACAACACTCAAACGTTTCGTAATCGCTTCCACATCCCTCTGCCAACTCAAAAACTGACTATCTCTAGTTCTATCCTTCTGAGAAACAGCACTCTCTTCGGCAAACAATGGTTCAACGTACGCAATACATGGCCTAACCAACGCAGCTGTTGGTGCTGGACGCATTCTTCAATGGTAGTAACCATTGCACAACCGAAAACTCGCTTTCTAATAGCCTCATTACGGATTCATTGGCGCCAACCCACACTAGTTTGGTCCTGAGACAGCGATTGTCGAACACCTGAAGACGCCTCAGTTTCGCTGCTCGAACAGGCCAAGTCTCACAACCATAGGACAAAACAGCACGTACTGTAGCCTGATACACACGTCCATTGAGATCCAGTTATATACCGGTGACACCATAAGTGTCTTAGATTAGCAAGTGCGACATGTGCCTTAGACATTCGTGCATCAACTTCATCTGTCACAACACAGTCGGAGCTAATACAATCTCCAAAGTACGTGAAGCACTCCACAACTTCGAATACCTCCCCCTAGATTGTGTTATGTTTAGTGACTGCATGCCTGATCTTACACTTTGTGGGTGCAGAATGTATACCAAAGGTCAGTTGATCCAAAAACGTCTGCGCCTTCCTACTCTCTTCGAAGACTAGAACGATGGCGTCTGCATGTTCCAGATCGGGAGGATTTTCGTAAGCGTCTAATTGGACACTGAAGTTTGAAGACCTTCCAGTGTCTCATTATTTCGTCGATGGAATGGAGATAGTGGGCATTACTTGCAGATAGCGCTTTGTGTACGGAAGCCTTTGGAGAGCTCCCCGTATACTCTCACACATCCTAAAGTTTAAAGATGTAAGGAACGTATTATGTTCACAAACTTCCTGGACATTCGTTGATGGGCGCAAGCGTGTCAAGGAGAACAGACCGGTCAACCGATTCGGATGGCGTTGTTCTAGCAACTGATGGAATGTGAGAATTTGGTCAACACAACCGCTACCAGGCCGGAATCCCGCTTGCTGCTCTCGAGTCAGTATCTCACCAGCCACCATAAGGCGACGAAGCACAAATGATGCTAAAAGTCTGGTTTAAAACCAGGATCAAACTGATCTCTGTGGTTGTCTCACCCACTGCGAGCCCCTTTTTTGAACGTGGGCACTATCAGTGGCTCTCCCCAGTTGCCTGGTCCAGTCTTCTCCAAAATGCAGGCTAGCAGATTAGACAAGCGCTGATTGAGGACTTCACTCCCATCTTTGAACAGTGCAGGTGGATGGTCATCCGGACGGTGGCGTTTGGGAGAAAATATGGAGTCATAAAGCCCCGAGGTCGTAAGGGGCTCCGCGTTCACCATTCAGGGTTCGACATCGACTGTGGGCTCCAGATGAGTGGCAACATGTGGTCAGGAAAACTGTTCGAAGTATTCGGCCCAACGGTCGCGGCGTTATTCTTACTCAGAATGGTTGTTCTATTTCTAACCTTTGTGGTTTCGCTCAGATGGTTTCCGTGGACCAATCGGACAGATCCACCAAAATAATCTTTGGGCATTCTTCGGCTTTCTGGGCCTATTCTATTTTGCTGGGTTTCCATGTCCACCGGACTTCGCGGTCGTTTCGCACGCTCAATTCTATTTAACGTCTGATTCGTCCGGTCAAGTTAAGTTCAAGACCAGCCGGGATGTTTCTCCGAGATTTCAGCAAGAGATGCCTGTTGACCACTTTGACAGAGTACGGATACTGAAGACTGTCATGTATGAGATCTTTTGAATTCGCTAAGAGGTTACTGTTTTTTTTGGGCGATAGCTCATATGTGCAAAATTGGTTAGGGGTCTGGCAGATGGATTAACCGCAGTGGATCATTTGATGGGTGGGGACGGACTATGGGTGAGGGTCGGTGAGCGGAAAGCTGAAAGGGCGAACGATACTCCCCGTTGCCCAGGCTGAAGAAGAGGGTTTGGTTGAGATACCCCACTTTAAGCCTTTGACTCAGGTCTGACCCAAAAGGCGGTGGCCGGATGTAGGGTTTTCTCTTGGGATTCTTCCCCTAGCGTGCGACTCAAAAGTGTGAACCTTTAGGCTGCGGGATACCGGTTCGGCCCGAGGGTACAGGGAGCTAGGCACAGGTAGCTGATTCCTGATTAGGATATGCACTGCAGGTGTCTTCTGAGCACCACAAGACTGTGGTTTTAAAGGCATGATACGTACCAAATTTTCCTTCACCCTGCAATTTACTCTGTCGGGCAGCAATGCCTATAAGACGTCTTCTCCCTTGTCCTCTTATTTTACACAGCCACGTTGTCCAACTTAATGGTGGTTTTATGACATTTTCGAAATGTTCACGTGTGTCGGTGATGGTAACGCCGTTCCTTGAGAAGGATGAATGTCCCCATACTTTTATGCGCAGCGGCCTTTCGGGGTGTGTTAAAAATGCACGACTCATTTTTGTGTAGAGTTCGCCTCCAGTATCTATTTGGAGACATTCCACCTTGATCCAACTGCCTAAGTATTTTTTTACTAGATTTTTGGGCACCTACGGGTGAACGTTTCAGTGTGAACAGTTGTAATAATGTAAGCTCAATAAATTCGCTAGGATGAGCTAGTTGACGTCCTAGTAACGAAACGGTAGGGCTGTACTGTATCAGTTCGGTTTCTTATCGAGATCCAACTTTTGGCGAACAATCAGGCTTTCTTGAGAACCCACAGATCACAAGTTTTGCTCCTTCTTAGAAATTTCGGTAGTGAGCGAAGGAAATTCCGTTGATGTGAACATCAACGGAGTTGCAATTGTCTGTTGTAGCAGCGGCCATAGTAAGGACATTGTGTTCTCGTGGAAGACTTAATGGTGGATCTAATAATTTTTATACCGACAGCACCTGCTACAGCACCTGACAGTCGTCAGGTGAATGTAGCCTTTGTTCTGGAGATATTGCAGTCTGAAAAGGTTCCCCTTCAAGCCATTTTGTCCAATGGCAGGTCCCTCCATGTTCCAAATGTCTTTGAAGGCCATCCCGGTTGCGGAATTCCGGGCATCTCTGATTTCAAACTCCATTCTCCACCTTACCATAGACAAGTTATTTTGGAATGCGAGTATCGAGTGACGTAACCAATGGAGCTGGTTTCGCGTCAGACTGCATCCAACTCGATTAATGTTCGGTCATTGGGGTTTGGCGTGTTCATTCGATCCGAGTGATTTTGTGCGTGTACTGCAAATAAACTTGGCCAGGGATCCGAATATGTCTGTGCGGCGTTCAGGTTTTCTTTGTCGTACAGTCATAAAGACAGTACACCATCTCGATGCTCCGCAGTCTGTGTAGAAGTAGTGGTTTATCCGAATGCGTTTTTAGGGTTGAATAAACGCCGTGTTGGTCTCTGCAAGTCGTAAGTTCATTTCATTTTCAACCTGAAGTTTGTGGAGGGATCATTCCGAAGAGGAAGAACCTCTAGTTTTTATTAGGGTGCAGCCTTTGTTGAGGGAATCGGGATAATCGCAGATGAAAAACAAAATAACGTGAAGCGAATACCCAGTTCGTTTCCAACACCTTCACAGGGTTACTACAGGTACGAACCTTTGTTTTTCTTGGGGCGTGGTAGTTCTTTAGGTAACTCCGTAAAATCTAGGTTCAAGCTGTAGACACTGACGGGTTTGCTGCATGACACAATCCTCGCGTTGTACTGACGGTTGCCTGCTGCATTTTTCGGTAAGGAACAAGGTTGATATGGGTGGCTTTCTATTTTGGACCCGGTGCTTGATATCCGTTACGCTCGACAATAAAAGTGGCGCGGAACTACCTAACTTGCACTGTTTATTCGCGGCTGTCAAAAACTAGTCTCCTTTGTATGTTTGGACTTGTGATTAGGACCTAGTTCTGGTGGTAGTCTGTAATCGAGCGGGTGTGCTCCATTGTACAACTAATCACGATTTAACCGGCTCCTCACATAATGATCTTCGGGAACCTCTAGTAGCTGTCTCTGACTAAGTCGTATTTATGTTCTTTTCATCTGCCTCCGATAAACAGGGGTACCAAAGAAGTAAGTTTCTACTGACAATACTGAAATTGCAGTAACTATCGATGGATCACCCTGTCCAATTTTAGTCATATCGGATTGTTCCTGCCAAATGTACTCAATCTATGCCCTCTTTCACTTTACCGCGGATATTTAGTCTGTCGGTATTAGAAATTTTCCTATCCTTGAGGATGAAGGAGCCTTGCAGCTCTTCTGTGTTCTACTTGTTGGCAGTGTGGGATACGCCTTTACGTAATGCACTGTGGATGTCCAAAAGAAACTGGATGTGGTTTATGCCGACTACTTATGCAGCAGGAAACCTTCTAGGGATACCACGTTTGAAGCAGCCTGACTAACTAAAGCGCGTTTTGAATTTGCAACATTCCACCAGTTGTGACGTGAACAGTATGTCGGGCCCTCAACTGGAAAAACTATTTTACTCCCACCGTGCATGATCAAACCTCCTATTGGACTGGAAAGCAACTCTTCCTTGAATTTGGCAAACATCAATACTGATCGGAAGTGTGCACTAATCCGCAGTTACTCATGGCATGTATGTTTTGTCAATACGCATGGATCCGATTTAAATAAACTGACTGCTCGAAAACTTCTTGAATGTTTTCGCTATTGTAATATCGGTTTTCCTCTTCCCTACTTGATAGAGCTATACTCATAGCAAACCCATCGTTTTGTTGATCTCGCTTAATGGAATCAAAGTATGTCGGGACACTGACAAGGTAAGTCAAGTTTATCCAGCTACACACGCTATCCACAATATCGGGGATGAGTAGTTGTGATTATGTGCTCACGTCATGCTTCTGGTTCCGTATCGTTTTTCGGTTTTTTTAAATCATTATGTTCAGATCTCTGCTGTAGGNGTTTTGTTGATCTCGCTTAATGGAATCAAAGTATGTCGGGACACTGACAAGGTAAGTCAAGTTTATCCAGCTACACACCCTATCCACAACATCGGGTATGAGTAGTTGTGATTATGCGCTCACGTCATGCTTCTGGTTCCGTATCATTTTTCGGTATTTTTAAATCAATATGTTCAGATCTACTGCTGTAGGGATTTTTATAGAGCGGTTCAAAAGCTTCCTCTAAGAGTATTCATTCATTTGTATTTGTGTGGGATCACCCTTCCACTTCCATTGGACTGCTTGGTAAATATGCAGTGAAAGGATACCACTGCTGAACAACTGTTTTCCCTTGTTTAAACGAGTATCTACGAATTAATAACGCAACTCCGTATTCCTGTGTTGTACGTATCGATTTCCGACAGCCCGTACGTTTTCTTCACAAGACGTACAAATTGGGTACGAACTCCGTAAGTAGATTAGCCTTAGGGTTACATCATGCCCCACGTTTTCAAGACAGTTTCTAAGCCCCGTTATTTCAATTCCTGCTCATTGTGGTTTACACTGAAAACGGATCTTCGAAGAATGCACATGGTGCACCAGTCTGTAATTTTTCTAACGTTTACTTCGTCTGTAACCATTCTAATAGTCATGGTGGGCTTTTTTGAATGAATTTCCTGTCTCCTCTACTTGTGTGATTTGCCTGTAGTCATAGCGAAGCTCAATCACTCAATTACTGTGTATTGAGTTATAATCGTTTACAACGTGAACAGGAGAACACAGAAGTCTATCGAGCAATGCATGCACCGGGAAATCTGAAAAGACTTGGTTTGCCGTTTTTCGCTAGCAAGCAAAACGAACAGGCTGGTAATCTTGAGCATGTGAATCGAATAAGTTACAGTGGAGTTGGTAAATGAGTAGCTGCTTAGCGGGTTAATAAGTAGTTGTTTGCTCATAACAAAACTTAGAATACATTTGTGATAGTTAAGCATAGTTGGGAAGAACATCTAGTCAAATGGACCGTAGAATGTTTGAAAATAATGAATACCATAGAAACGAGGTTGGTTAGACCAACTTTCTTTGGAAAATAGCTTGAATGTTCGAATATTCAAGGCAAACTCTTTGCTTGGGGCTAGAGGCGAATTGGAGAACGATGAAACCAGCGTGGAATGCTTCATTAAAAAATCCAAGGAGGTCGTTCGAAACTGATAGATAAGCCAGCTTTAACGAACAAAAATAATGCCTTCTCGATGACCGGCTTACCGAAGAATGTTATAAGATGGTGCTTTCAGTATTTGACGGAAGAATATTTTTGAGAGGTTGGCTCGTCAGTCTTGATTCTTTCCAGACCACATTTTAGAGAAATACATAGAAGGTTAACAGGAACATCTAAACTACTTCACACATCCACCATAGACGTCAGTTCATGAGCTTGGTGATGACATTCTTGAGCTGGGAAAAAGCTTGGCGACCGGGATGGGAGCAACCCACAGTACCATAATAAGCATGCTCGCAGTTGTTTTTGCTCAGTAACGCAAGATGTCTGATCCACGAACGATTTTTGAGGGTTAGTGGTTCGAACCCGATCTCCAACTCTCGACTTCCCCTGTCTAGGTTTGGGCGACCTGGCAGTATCCCAGCCCTCGTGCCTCCTTCGGTTGACGTAGCAGTTAGGCACCGGAAGGGTGCTACAGCTGAACGATTTATTTTTTTATTATTTTTAACCCTTGTTGAGGGAACCTGGTTATTCCGGAGCGTTTCTTGGACAAAGGTGTTTTCTTGTGAGCACTAAGAACCGTATTGTACTATATTAGGCCCTTTTCAACAGCTTTTGCGCAGGCGTGGGGTAGCAATTTTGAGTTCAAATGCAGTAGATGTTTTTGATACTCAATGCACATTCATATTTCCAATTTGCATTTCTTTGCATTATATGGCGAGCTTGTATTGTGACAGTCAACCCCAATCATCTGGATAATTAGGAACTGGTGTTTACTATCTTGCCACAATTGAACGAGAATCCTCAAACACTGCAAGTTGTCACGAAGACGTAATCTTGTTTAACAACGAAATCGACGATATTTACTGGTTGTGTAATGAGATTTTGGACTTTTTGAAAATTTCATCCTGTGAATGAAGCCAATCTATGCTGAACAACCGAGAGGCATTCTACGGCTGTTTCATCCTTATTGAGAATCATGAGCGGTGCGTATCTCGCGAAACTCGAACCCGCGACATTCTGGCTAGTAGTTTGAACACTTAAGCGTTCGGTCACAAGCGGCTGATCAACAGTGTAATTAACTCGTACTTAGACAAGGCATGGCGCCGGTCATCCATCACGCGGTCACACGTGTTGACTGGCTCCTCTCAGATGGAAATTTCGCTCATCGGGTGAATTTTATACTTCTACCAGGCTAGTTGTAGATTTTTGATGGTTCGAGGCGATGCCCTGTTATTAGTGGGGCACTCATGCACGCTTCTTGACTTTTCAGCAGAGATTGGCTTCACTTGAAGAACGAAATCTCCACCAGCGACGGCATTTATTGGGAACTTGAGTTATCTTTTGATGTTTCCTTTTGTTCTTCAGCTCTATCACCCCCATTCGGTAGGTCAACTGAAAAGTGTTCCAACGAATAATGTGCATGTCCAACGTCAAATAAGTTAAGCCAAGTCGACAAGAGCTCTTCAATGTGGTGGGTTAGCGTATCAGCTGTACGTATGGCATCAGTTCCTCGGAACTGTAACTAGCTCATACATTTATGACTGGCATGAAGCAGTTTCATTGTGATATCTCTCAGGGAGTAAGTTAGTCATTTGGGAAACAAAGTGTATTGTCGTTGATCCTAAGAACTTTCATTCCTCAGGGTCGTATTGCAGCGGTCACAAACTTCGCGATTCCAAAGTTGTCTACTTGATGGAGATGTCACCTTACATACTGAAAATAACGGAGAAGGCTGAGCAGTTCTTCGATTAATATCGGAATTGGTTGGAGACTTGGAAGAACAGTGCTCATATTAAGAGGCAAATCGGATCCTCTTAGGAAAGTAACGGTGGACGATATCACGGTCGAGGTAGTCCTAGAATGCGAATTCATTTTTTTTACTCGTGGACAGATTTTTTAAAGCCATTGGTGTAGCCGATGGACAGTAATCTAACTGTTCTCTATTTGCTCCCAGCTATGAGGCGGTGGAATGCACAGTAAATGTCACTCAAGGGTGGAGTGTGACTGCAACCAACCTCATCAAAATCCACTTATGCCTTTCGAAACAATTTTGAAGCTGTTGGTTACAATCACATTCTATGCTTGAGTGGTATTTCTTGTGTCTTCTATTTCTTTATAACTGGAAAAACGGGGGAACAATCATATCATTGTCCCTCGGTTTTACATCTGAATGCGACTCTATACCATGATGGTTGTGTTGGGGTTCGGGAACATGAAATAGCTCATTGGTAAAGGCGCGAAGCTACTGAACGGAGGATGCGTAGTTCCAAACCAACCCTGACTTTTCAATTAATCCTTTTTTGGCTTGGGTAACATGGCGGTATCTCATTCGTTGTGCTTCTTTCGAGTTGCACGGAAGTCATTCGCCGAAAGGGCGCCACAGCTGAACGGTTACTTTTAGTGCTGTCAGGAAGCGGACTTTTGCTAACTAACCTCCAGTAGGGCATGCTTGATCTCTGGAAACTACTTGAAACCTATCCTTTCTTCAGCAACGTTCATTCGTCGGTTGGTATGTTCTCAATTTATTTGCATACCGAAGTTTAATAGTGGATCTCAACATGTAAATTTACTTTCTCCCCACCTTATTCATCCCCATGTGGTTGCTAACAACTGTATTTAACAATATCTTCTCAATATCTACTTCATTAGTTTCTTTTATTGGTCATGTTTACATCATGTTCGTTTATGACCCTTTGGCGCCATTGTGTATCGTTAGTGTTTCCCTCTTAGCTTTGCCAATAGTTCTTCTAGTGGTAACGACCAACCCTGGGCATTCTTCTTCAGAAATTGTTACTATCTGGCCTTTTCTGGAGTGGACTTCCTTGAGGGGACCATACGTTAGGCCGTGAGCAAGCGCTGTTTTTGACTCTCCGGGGAAGTGGCTTCTGGTCCGAGTGGCAAATACCTCAAAATGAGGCACCAAGCCAGTGCTCGTCCCATTTCGTGTTTGTCCTAGGTGGAAGTAACAGTCCTCTCGAATCCCAGTTGCACTTCGTTCTGTTGGTTCATATTGCTTGACTGATCCTAGCAGATAACTTGGGATAACAGTTTTCTGGACGCTGAATCAATCGCATGTTTTACTAACCGTATGACGCTTAGTGTTTCACGTTTCCGGAGCGCACAAACGGGTTGTGAACTCGTTCTTATATTATCCACTGTGTTTACCAATTCGCCAACTGTTCTTTCAATCCTCGTATTTCAGCATGTTTATATGGCTCATGCCCTGCGCCGAATTTCCTATGCCACCTGTGATCCAGAAAACGTGCAGTTCGCCTTTTTGGCGAGAGAACCAAAAGCTGAACCCAATGTACAGTATTGCCATGCCTTTGTGACTCGAACACCAGAACAGGTGAGTTTTTCACCATGATTATTACCAGGTGAACATCTGGATTATTTGGGAAGTATATTTACTCTTATTGGTGAATTCCAGTGAACACTTCTGGTTGACATTTTAATACTGCTGTCCTCGACAATGATGATGAACGTTTCTCTCGCTTGTAAAATACAATGACTCTTCCATTTGGGGCAGTCAACCGGGACGGTGTCAAGATGCACACCAGGTATGAAACCATGGAACTGTGATAAACGTGGTCCTCCCGTGTGGAAGAGTAGTACAAGGGCTCTGTTTTTTTAGTCTTTTCATGCCTTCAGGTGTCAGTTGTTCTTCCCACGACATATTTTGTGGGTCGAATTTACCCAACCAGTTAGAGAATTGGTTACTCACTTTCTACCCCAAAAAGGAGCGTGCATGGGACACTTTTGCTAGTATTTTCGTATGGTGTCTATCGAGCGCGCAGTCAGTGTGTGTTGTAACGGTATTTTCCTCAGCTTAGTTCTCGGTCTGAGCCTCCCAAGCTAGCGTTCACGTCAAAACAAACACCAAAGGTGCACAAGGTCTATTAACGCCCAAAACGAAATCAGGAACAGTTGTACAGCGCTTCGTATATATAGCGTAAGCGGCTATAACTTTCTGGAATTTCTGACGGTTTCTGGATGCGCCATTGGCAACCGGCATTTGGCCAATACTGGGTCATGATTGGCTGTTGGGTCCAGATTGTTGACCAATCAGATCTCGTCTTGATGCCGGACCGGCAAGCGTCCCGAATTTTGGGCCAACCTCGAGCGGGCTAGGCTTCTCGGCCGTAGCAGCGTCTAAAGACGTGCGGTATAGTGGGATCCGCGTGGATTCCTGCCTAACAGTATGTCAATTCAGATGCTTGCTTTTCCAAGCCTATATGTCCTAAATCAGCCACACTAAAACACAATACGTTACCACCTTTTCCCGTGCGTAGCCGGGCACAATCGTTAGTTTTAAATAGTATCACTGCTTAACTTTTCCGCTATTTTCGTAGGTTCAGTGTTTCGCCTTTCATTTTAATCGTACAGTGTGCGGGATCGAGACCAAATAGGCTCTTTTCGGGGAGCTTATCGGGAATTCCTCTCAGTAGTTGGTATTTCATTTTGGATGTAACTCTCCTGTGGTTCTTCACTGCAGTACATTTGTTCGGAACGTTTATGTTTTGATGGAACTGCCTTGTTCACTAATCCTTACGTTTCAAAAAACCCAGGTTACCGTGGCATCAGCCGCTAACTCATTTGACCATTCACAACGGATTTGTACTTTTGACACTTGCATAGTCTGGTTTTTTAGTCCATTGTCGGTTCGTTCTTTCACTTCATCTGTTCATCGTCCTTTTACACAGGCTGAGGAACTGAACAACATTGTGGGTGAAGCTTTCCGGATAGCATACGCACAGCAACAATTAGCTCTACTCACACAGCAGTTCCGTCAGGTAGCGCCAACTTCCGTCGAAGCATCCACACAGCGATTGCCGGCAGAAGCACACCCAATTCAGTCGACAGTTTCACAGTCCAATTCAGTCTCCGCTATGTCAAACGTGGCCAATGGACCTGGTTCCATCGCATCCCTTGCATGTTTGACATCCCATTCCAGGTAAGGATTTGTCTTTGGGTATTAGATGTGCAAATACAACTGTAGACTTATTTTTATTCGGGATTGTGTAATACGGGGGTCCGGCGGATCAGTGTGAAATCCATGTGTATGTGCGGGGTGAGGGTAACACTTGTGGTAGCTTAACTGGCGGTGCACTCATCCGTTTCTTCGATTTGATTTCTCATGACTGTCTAATCAGCTCTGGTACATACATCCAATTATTCTTAAACGGCAATCGCTACACCAACGGTTGAACTCACCGGCAGTACTTGGCCTATTTTGTACAAAGTAGATTTTGTAAATCTTGAAATCAACAGTGTGGGTACATGTAGTATGGGCGGAATCATACGCCCAGGGATGCAACTGAGCAACCGGAAAATGCTTACACACCAGCTTCTGTCTAGGCTTGGGCAACCTGACAGTATCCCAGCTCTCGTGCTTCCCTCGGATGACACCGCAGCTAGGCACCGAAAGGGTGTTACAGCTGAACGATTGATTGAATGATTTTTCTACACACCAGCTTCCGGTACTGAACAGAGGGTTTGCTTGCGTTATTCCAAACGAACATCCATGAAGCCCACCTTAGAAAACACGGAGTGTTTTTTTTTCAGAAATTATTTTGAAGGAAGACGTATTTCATCATGTATTTGTTTTATTTCAGTGTCCGGTACAGCTCACTAATTTAATCTCACTTCATTCGTATAAATGACGAGGTCATCCCTACGCATAATCTGCATGGATTCTGCTGGGCTAACGAAGGATCATTGACGTGTTCATGATTAGTTGTGGTGTTTTTCCGCCATCAGACACTTTCTCTGGGCTTTTTCTACAATCTGTTTCCTCGGGAAACACCGGAGACAATAGGAACGTTGTGAGACAGGATAAGTAGAAGTCACAATTTTCTGGCTTAAAAACTGCCCAAGAGCACTGATCGGTTACCGGAATGATGCAAGCCATTACTTTATATAAGAAGCTAATTATGGGTGCATACACGCATGCATAATTGTCGCTCCTTCTAAAATTTAACACAACTAATATTCAGTTTTCACATTGGAGCTTCAATAGACATTCATATCTCAGCATTTGCCACCCCCTTGTAGCCATTGAAATTTTTAGTGGCTGCATGGATCGTGTGCTTTGACAGATGTGGACCAAGCACCTACGTAAGCCGCAGCTGTGCTGTGGCAGTGAAGTTAGTGTACACGTCAAAGCTTAAGAATTATTCGGCTATGTGCAAAAAACTTTAGTTTTAGCGATGAATTTCTGAGGAGTTAAGTGTCAGCCTAAGTTGCTCGGTTTTATGATTCTAATGTAGTCGTCCCGGCCTGCTGACTTCATCTTCATCCGCTGAGCGAGCCGCAGCCTGTCCTTGGCGTCATAATCCGTAAGCGAACACCTAGCGATCAGTCGGAATTGTTAAGAAATCAAATGAGACTCGTGTGTCTAGCTTGCGTCCTTCAAAGGGTTCTGTTCTACATTGTAAACCTTTGTTGACGAACTTTCTGTGGTAGGTAGACCGACATGGTCGCACGAAGGGGAATCGAATACTTGGGGTTTACACCGACGTCCATGAGATTCCCCTTTAGCGGGGAATCCTACAGGGATTGGCAAACCTGTAGTAGGTTGGTACCTCCTAGCCAGACCGCTTAGCTAAAATATCGGCTTGTATTGTGTAAGGTTCGGGAGGATGCTGGGTCGTTCCCACTGATGGCGTCTTACTTACACACTACTGCAACATATCGATTTCAGTACAGTTCGGTACAGACATTTTCCTCTTGATCGTTTTTTAGGAGACAGGGCTTGCTATTGCATGTCTTCATCTGTATCCCCGTTTCCTTAGTTTTAAGGTTGCATTGCTGTCCATCGTGGTGATGACGACTACTTTGTGTCACTGACCCCCCATACTGCCCATTTCTATGCATTGGCTGAAGAGAACAAATCACAGCCGAGTATAAATGTTGTTTAATACCTAGTCCGTACCATAATGCTCAATTAAGAGTGCAGACCAGTCGGTTGACTGCTCAAATCGAATCACATAAGAGGCAAACAACAACATCACTGGAAATGCACACCCTATCTTTGTAATGTGTTTTGAATATTGGTCAAACCAGTCTACTTAGACCATTTTCGCCGGGTCTTTGCGCATGAACTTTCGTATTCCCTCGGTGGTCTGAAATCATAACGGTTGCTTTTAATCATTCCTTGTTACCCCAACAGCACACAATCGAATCACATAAGAGGCAAACAACAACATCACTGGAAATGCACACCCTATCTTTGTAATGTGTTTTGAATATTGGTCAAACCAGTCTACTTAGACCATTTTCGCCGGGTCTTTGCGCATGAACTTTCGTATTCCCTCGGTGGTCTGAAATCATAACGGTTGCTTTTAATCATTCCTTGTTACCCCAACAGCACACGCGACAGAAATTTAGGGGGGGGGGGGCTCGTCCACTTGCATGGACCCCAAAGTGGGGGCTCCTCAGGCGAAATATGGCGACGTTGGAGCTTAATACTGGTCGAACATGTTAGGTTTACTGTCCCCCACATAGTCGGTTCTCATAAATTGTTTGAACTTTCATCGCCATTATCTGTGGTCAAATATTGGCATGATCATTAAGACGGTTTGTCCATCCTTGTTTGTGTAATTAGGCAATACCGGGGTTTTACCGGATGTATTTCTCTGTCCGTGGTCTGTCAACTTCGATGTAATATATGGAATAGATACCAGCGGATCATGACAGCTTTTTACAACCGACTCCAGTTTAGTTCATATGAACGAAGCAATAATTTCAGCTAAAGTTAGGTTTAAGCTCATTCCAAGGAAGAAGCTCGGTTAATATCTTGCGTGATCATCACTGACATCCTATTAATTAAGCGAGAGCTGATCTTTAGACATATTCTTTTCCGATTTACTTACTGCTACATTTGCTCAGTGCTGCCCACATTAATCCAGTCTGTCATATGTCGGTAGCAAAGCTCCGGTGGGTCCAGCAATGTGCTGCAAAATCCAGATGTTCAAATGCATATGGCCGCAGGCATTTACTCAAGCTTTTCTGCACCCAGAATCGATCGGTTTTTCATAAAGCTGGTGTGTCTGTGTTGCCACCATAATGGTGCTTCATTCTGTTCACGGCCGTCGATTTTCCACTCTGTGACCTTGTTTTCTCCTGCTTACTCACACCAAAGGCTATCGATCGGTAAGGACGAGACTGTCACAGTTCTGTGTTTGTGACTGTAATTGAAACCATGTCCCTCAATGGAACCGGCTGCTGCCCGTGTATTTCTGACCGAGATTCATGTTCGTTGTCTATATATACACACTCACCTGTTTGTGCATTCATCTCCATTGTACATCCACCGAAACCCTATCTGATTCGGCACGGCGTCTGTTTTCAGAAGACCTGGGTGATGTCCTACGCACATTTGGTGTTCTGACCCCGTTTCCGCGGGCTTTGGATTTTTCATCGTCCCACACTACACCGTTTTGCTTGCCTTTTAGACTTCATGTCTGACTGATTTAATCACATGGACCTTGTCCCTTATGTAGATTATGATACCACTTGTTTGCTTTCGAAAAATGCATTGCTTTTAGCTGATGGCGAATTTCAGTAGATATTCAAAAGGCACTATCACGTAGCCCCTCTTATAAGGATACAGCAATGTAGGTAGACAGACACGTAGGCAGTTTGTTTGCCTCACCAATTCAAATCTTTTGAGAAGAACCTATTGGAGGCTACTTTCACACTTCAACCGCCGCCTTACCGGAAGATATTGGTGTTTGGACGTCTGATTTTTGTCGTACGTTTTATGGCGATAGAGTAATGAATTGTTTAATCCAAATAACATCATTGGCTTTATGAGCCTGGTCGGTTTAGATTGCTCTTCGTCGACCTTTGTGCTGTTTTTCAGTGATGCCGAGGATTTCGATTGCGCCGCCAACCTTGTTCCTCGGCATATGTATTCTTTTGATTGTGTTTTAACGCTGTGATGCTCCTTCGAATTAGTTTCGTGGTAACATCTCTAAACCATTGCATTACATGATGTGTATGCACATCCATATTTTCGTGAAGTCGTCCTTTTCTGTGGATCCGATTTCTGAGTGGCACGGAAACTTGGAAGTTTGAGGGGGTGACGACCCGGAGTTGTACGAGAATCGGAGTGTGAGCACCACTCACTTTTGGAGGCCTACGCCTCCTTACCATACCGGGTAGGTTAGTTAAATCCAACTGATTTAGATAACTTCTCTAATCTTGTTCTTTGCGCTGTCTCCCCAGACGAGGAACAATGTTTGCTGCTGACGCCATCTGTCTAGGTCAACTGGCTGCATCGTTAGAGTGTTATATCGGTAATTTTTTCAGCGTGAAAGATGGATGCATGCGAACTATAGGAGAAATCGAACAGTGAAATGGTGTTCAAACCGCGTTTGTGCTAGAAACCATATTTAATCGGTTGCTTTTAACTTTCGGACGAAACTAGTTTCTTCTCCGTATCCCGATGTGGTATGCAAATTTTCTGGGTACCTTTCGGTGCACTGTAATCGCGAATCGTTCCTGTTGCTATTATCTCGAATCACCTTAGGGTGTCGATCATGGTTTCGAACCGTAATGAGGCTAAACTTTACTCGCCTAATCCAACAATCTTAATGTCCGTTCATTCTGCTGTTATCGGTCTCTATTTGTAGCTAGGATGTAACATCAACCCAATATACTCTCCTGTCAACAATGGTTTTCTAGTCCAATTAGGTCAGGAACTGCAATTCAGGCCCCTCACTCCGCTGTTCATCCGTCTTTCCTGAATAAACCGCTACCTCCAGTCCCCGGTACACCTATCAACTCGATGACAGCTGATTCGCGTGTAGATAGCAATCCATCACTGACAGACCCACCATTACCGCCGCCACCTCCTGCTGATGTCGATATCCATCGAGGCAATCGGCCACATAAGTAAGTAAGACGTCTCGTTACAGCCAGTCAATCTCTTAATAACCTATGTGCGCATGAATTTTTATTCAGTCAAATGTTCCTGAGATTCCTCCTGTGCGTGCCTGTGCCGAATCGCCGCCACGTTGTTGGTTCATTACCATCGTCCCTTTTTCTGACTCATCAGTGCCAGTTATCATTGAGCCTGTTGATTTCAACACGGGTTGATGGCGATGTTTGCGCGCAAGTCCACACCACGACAGAATTAGGGTGATAGCAGGGAAGCCACGGACATCCGTTTCCCCCTCCACCCGTCATAAGGAATTTTGTTCAACATTTCCGGAAATAAAAACGGCAAAATGGTTGTCTCTAATATCGATGTTAATGTTTTTGATGTGAAATTGTCAGTGTCCCGTACACTGCTCGCGTTTTATGTTAGTGTGATTATATAGGGGCTGTAGGGACCGGCTTGTTCCTGTTCTGTCCTCCTCTATTCGGTCCGGAAGTTTTCTCATGCGAGACTGCGTTTTAATGGTGCTCTTCTATTAAGTCGGCATGATGTTGGCTAAGTTATCAGTCACCTCCGTGTGAGCTCCATGCTACACACTGTAAGTGGCCAGATACCATTCATTCATCCAAAAGCTGTTCGACAATGGATGGTTGCTTGCAATCCACTGTCGATTGAATTTAACACTTAAGCGTTTTGTGGCATTGTCATAGTCTAGACACTAGTATAAGCGATCACTGAACTTACATACCCCGTTGCGCAACGGCATTCAGCCGGCTGTGAAACGCGCTTAGTTGTGTTGACTGAGACAACTGGCAGTAAAATTTGTGGCCTGCATCTCGTGGTTTGGCGTTTCGAACCTTTATGTCATACCGACTTGATCCGTCCATTATAAAGCTCATTTTATCATCTTGACTGCGGTTTGGTTCATTATTTTAGTAAAATTTCACTCCTCACACATTTGTCGCTTATGGCCTATTGATGAGTTGCTCGTTATTGGCATTAGAACAGATTCATCTAGATATCGCTGTTCCCAAAACCCCAATCTTTTTGTCTGCCTATTCATTTGAACTACTATGCGTCCGCTTTTTTGAATAACAGTTGCGTAAATGTGAACACGCTGGTGACAGATATCCTCCTCGCTAACTTGTTTTGATGTTCCCCCGACCAGTCTTTCTATTTGCTCTGTTTCTCTCACTTTATCGGGTAGTGAAAAAATCAATACTAGATTGTTTACGCTCACTCTCATCCATTTTCTTACAGACAGTTGCCAGAACATACACGACTGTTCAATATTAGTTCAGCTCGGTTAAATAGATGCTCAGCGACTACAATTTCGATTACCAAAAGATTAGTGGTCGACCCGATGGCCGTTGATCTGTTCGCCAGCTTGGCACTCATTCGAGGAGACGATGACGATGTCTCTTCGACTGGGGACGAAACATTTGCAAGCTGGTTACCAAGTTCGGCGAACAGATCAACGGCCATTCGATCAACCACCAGTAAACACACCCGAGCTACCAATATTTCGATATATTGACACTAAAAGGTAGAAGCAAAATGAGGACGGGACTTTGTCTCATTGGGGGACCTGTACAATGAATGAATTTATGTACCACACCGATCGGCTTGCCTGTAAGCATGAGAGTTAGTTTCGATATCACCGAGCCTTGTGGGTAGCATCTAACACTTCAGGTTGGAAGCGTGTGCCAATTTACACAGCTGACGTATGTATATTATTTGAATTGATTTGCATTTCTGGAGAATATAATCTAAAGATATCACTTGCACCTGTAAGCGAGGGCCCGTGACCCTTACAGCGTCAGAGGCGCATAGGATTTTCAAGAAGTCTGTAGACAGAAAGGCTGAAAAGAAATGCCGAAGGTTGCAATCCCATGTAACACGAGTGGACGTTTCCAACCCAGACGAAGCACTCCGTTATTGTCCACAAATGTGGTCATGCGATGCCTTCTTAATAGATAGGGATGTGGTTACCAGACACTGTCAAAGTTTCCTACTGTCCCTAGAGTCAACAAAACAACTTTCTGATAGAAAGCGACCATTGTGGGTCGTTGAAGGAAGGACACTATTTGAGCTGCTTCAGGTTGAAGGTCTGACCAATGCATTTTTGGTTCTTATGGATTTGCCCCACGCTGTTCCACTTTCGGGTGATCGAAACTGAAGCAGCTGAAACCAATGTACCCATGATACATGGTCTGTGGCTGATGATTTGATTGCTTCAATTGACGAATTTGCCCCTTTCGCTAATCCGTCAACCCACACATGATGATGCTAGTATTCTTTTTGGGAGCTACGGCCGATGGTTCGATTGTTTCCATTCTGGCTATAATACATATTTGTGCCTATGCCATCCTATTCTCAAAACTGAAGGTCTGACTCTTCAACTAAAGTGGAAATAACGGCCATCGTTGGTTTTGATGACTCACTTGTTGGAGCGCAAATTTACTGACCGGAAGGTCCGTGGTTAGAACCCGACTTCTGCCTCTCAACTTCCCCTGTGTAGGCTTGGGCAATCTGGCAGTATCCCAGCCCTCGTGCTTCCTTCCGGTAGCATGGCACCGAAAGGATGCTACAGCTGAGCGAATGTCACTAAATTTATTGGATCCGTATGAGAATGCGTTTCAGACTAAGGTTTCCAAAGTCCAACCACTGGCGACGTAAATTATCCAGCCCGTGGAACTGGCATTGTTGGACACCCGTCTTTGTACAGAGAAGCATCAGAGTATGATTAAGATTATTTCGTTTGATGAAACACTGCTTTAGATTGTACTTCACACCGTTTTGTGGTCGAACCCTATTTGATATGGCTTTTTGCTCAAACGGCTTTGGGACGCCGTCCGGCAAGGCTACGCAAAAATTGCTATGGCTTTTTTCGACTTTACAGCGCAATATAAGTGCAGCCTCACCGAAGAAGTTACTGTTGGCACGTTCTAGAGAATAGAAACGTGGATTTAGGACAGCTTCCAAAATGTCTCAGATTTCTGGGTAGCCTGTGTGCTCAAAGGCGAAGGTGGAAGACTAAGAGCCGCTTGTCAAATAAATTACATCCATTTAAATAAAATCGTTCGCCAAAGACGTTCCGTATTTGTCACTTAGCAAGGTTCACGTTAAGCCCACCTTACCAGCAACTTATGACAGAGACAGTCCTCTTCGGCGGAAGTCACTCGTTTATTTGATTTGTGGTGGCTTGTCTCGTGGGTATTCCAGGGAGCAAGTTTTGACCGTACATTGTGTATTGAAAGCCGCTAGTAACAATTGATTAATTATAACTGCCGCCAATTTCGCCACACTATCAGTTTGATCGTACTTCGGTTAGTTCGCCAAACATGAGCAACTATGCGCCTTGTAAGGTGGAACTTGTCGCTTATTGTCTTCCTGTACCCGTCATTTTAGACTTTCATTTACTCCTACCCAAAAATCTGAGAGCCATCATACACAACAGTCACTCGTTGAACGTACGAAGCACTGCTGCCTTGTGTTTTTGGTAATGAGGGGCCAATTTTCACTGAGTCGCTTATCCTGCGATCTACACCCACGATGTAGACAGTGATGATTAATTACTCCCCATATGGTCGCTGCCAGACACTGTTTTAGCGATTTGCGCTGTTGTACTATGTCAGGCTGCTGACATTTGGGGCCGTTTTTCACGGAACGCGGTGATTATTTCTGCTGTGTTGACTGGAACGTTCCTCTTCCGCATTAAAATTATCAACCCTGATGAGAAAACCAGGAAGTCGAAACGCAACATCAAAAGTAGATCACCAGATTGTTCTCTGTGTACCTGTTTTCACCGGGAATTCACACAGACGAACTAAACCCGAGTATTGGGTTTCTTCGGTTGAAAATTTTCTAGGTTGTCAGACAGTCGTGTACCAAAGATCATGAATAACTGAATCAATCATTTAGAATCCTTTCAAGAAATTAAACGTCATTATTTGTTGGTTCCTTCTTGAAATGAATATAAAAGCAACATGGTTGGTAATGTTTATATTCTTTTATCGTGCCCAACACGCACCTGTCTTCTAACCTCTGTGATTTTCAGATTTATCGTTTATCCTTTCGCATTTCCCTGCAGACATCACAAGCATCATAGGCATCGCCATAGACACCGAGCTAGAGACGTGGTTACCAAGACGTCGGATCAGCTGCAGGATCAGTATTCCGTGGACTCCGGACTACACACAAGCACTGGGGAGTCTTCTGTCAGCGTTCAACTTGAGTGCACGCCTAGGTTACCAGCAGCTGTACAAAAACCATCAGGGGTCATTCACCGTAGTCAACCACCGCCACCACCCCCGCGAGGTCCTTCATCGTTGACTCCATTTCGGAATGTTTCCGGGGTGGATGCAGGTCGAATTCTCAGCTCTGGTGATACGCACTCATACTCGCCTTGCATTGAGCAAGAGCACCTGGACGGTCATAGTGCTGTGAGTCGAGCCGACGGTGATACACAGTCAAGATTGCAAACCAGGTCGTTGTCGGACACAGTTTCCCCTACAGACCAGCAGGCTTGCTTTCTGGCCAAATCCGTAAATATCAGTCTGCAGTCCATATCCGGTGAGCTATCTGACGGGAACATTGCGCGACCCTCCTCACAAGCATCTAGGTAAGCTGGTTTAATTTTTCCTCTTGACCGGACATTTATCACGTTTCTCATCAGGCAGTCGTAAATCAGTGCGTGGTCGGTCTGAGTTGGTCAAAACTGTTAATTGAGGGGGGATATTCTGTATGGTGTCTGAATTCGTCCACAATAACGGGAGTCTATTTGCTGTCTGGTTTTCCCTCCCATCGACTTGAAAAAATTACGGCAGTGAAGCATCGGTGTTGTATACTGATGTCATGCTGTCGATGATGATGATGATGATGATGATGATGATGATGATGATGATGATGATGATGATGATGATGATGATGATGGAATTGAAAATTTCCGTGACACTGATATACTTGTCCCCATAAGTAAGGGATTTAAGTGGATTGCTCGGTGTATCTATTTCTTTTCGGTAATAACAATCGTAACAGCTGTAGCACCCTGTCGGTGCCTAGCTGCTATGCCAGCCATAGGAAGCACGAAGACTGAGATATCACCATGTTGCTCAAGCCTAACCAGGAGCAGTTGAAGTGCAGAGGTTGGGGTCGAACCACGGACCTTCCGTTCATAAACTCGCGCAGCTGTAGCACCCTGTCGGTGCCTAGCTGCTATGCCAGCCATAGGAAGCACGAAGACTGAGATATCACCATGTTGCTCAAGCCTAACCAGGAGCAGTTGAAGTGCAGAGATTGGGGTCGAACCACGGACCTTCCGTTCAGTAAACTCGCGTTTTAACCACTGGGCCATCTGGAGCTTATTTATTTTCGGTGCGTTCGGGTGAAAACACAATAGATGCTACCGCGATGATCAAGCCTTGCAAGTGAAAATGTCGGCAGTTTTTCCTCACTAGTAATGCAAAATGTTGAACACTGGTCGGTTGCGCAATTTCAAGCTTATTTGCTGAGACAGGATTACAGCAGTTAGAAGGGAGTATGCTTAACCGTCTTCAGCCCTTAGATTCGAAAGTCACTGATATGCTAGTGTTTGTAATCGAAAAATTTGGTAACTCAGCTCCCACTATTTCCGGTAGATTTTCTCCCTTGCTGGTTCATCAAATACTTGGCAATTTTAACAGTTTCACAGTTTTGCAAATCGACTGGCTCTGGGCGTCTACTGTAGCCGTTGCCCGTTGCGAAGAGTCTAAACTTTATCGTGGTGCAACGGTTCGCGTTACTCAGTAACCCACGGAGGCCTGAAGAACAGTCTCCAGGCCATTCAGGTTGGAGGTGATAGCATGCGCGACAATTTGGGCTCCTCGAGTACCCTCAAAATAACCAGCGCTGCCTTGCAATCAGGCTTTTGAGCCATAGTCTTTGGTTGAGGACCCTAATCATCCTTTGTCTGTTTGAGCCTCCCGGTAGTATTTCAGCCCAGTTACAACCATGAACTTTACGGATAAAAGTGCCTTCATGCCACATCGGCCGTCGTTAGATGACGTCAACCGAGTCGCCTTATTCGCTGTGTGAAGAAGGGTGGCTAAGCGAAAATTGGCGACTTCGATCTTTCTTCATTGTTATCCCTTAATTCCCATCCCTTTCACTTATCAGTCACTCTTGTGTGGATCCCAGCTGTAGGTACTTCACTGAGGCACCTGTAGGTTTGACACTGCACACTACCACCCGCATCTATCGTTCCGCGTCCACTATTAAGGCCTTTTCCCCTGTTTTTACTGCAGGGAGATTGGCCAGGAAATGCCTTGCGCCTACTCCAAGTACTCTATCAGATGTCTGTTGCAGCTATTGAGCTTAAGGCCGCCTTATTCAGAAGCTATAGACTACAAACTTCGAGCGATTTTGAAGCTGCTGTGGTGGGTTACGCGGTGTTCAATCGCTTTGGTGCGATCCGTATTGTTATACGGGTCATAACCCTGGACATTGGCTACTCCCCACCTCCCCCACGAAATCGTGGCAGCTACAACCACTCCGATAAGTACACGTTTCTTACATCTTATAATGATGATGCTGATGCTGACTGGTATCTGTAAACGACCAAGTCTGTGGTGTCCGGTTTTCTACTTCGATAAGAAATCGAAATACTGAACGCTCTTCATAAAAGCGGGAGATTTCAGTGCACACTTGGGACGCCACAGTTAATCAAAAGTATGCCTTAGTTGTATTTTTAGCCTGAACACAAAACACAACAACTTGAGTCATTTATGGCGTCAAAACCAAAATGGTGCATTAGCGGGTACTTGGTAACGAATCCGATCACTGAGAGCAGCAGATTAAACTTACCGAATTGGCGTGTTTCGGGCGCTGTTTTCTGTTGTGAGTGAAAGATTTGCGGGTTACAAGCCATCACACGGTCACGTGAACTGAATGTGACTACTATCAGATAGTGCTGCGGGAACTTCGTGCCTTCCTGGCTGGGGTTCACTTGATCCTGCTTACAGGTGATTGGAATCCAGTGGCGCGCCTGCTGCCTATATCGATTGATGTTCGCTAGATTAATCTCGCTGATAGCTTCTTACTGCACCGTGATACCCGGATGTATTTTAATAATTTTCAGAGATGTAGGTTTATTTTTATCGTTTGCCTAAAGGACATAGGGCTTCTCCGCGTTCACTTTATTTTTTCCATTTTCTTTCCACACTACTGAGGCTTTCTTCTCTCGCGGTTGTAGGACAGTTAAGCACCAATAACTATTGCTGGTATGGTATCTCCGTCAATGTTTTATAACATAGCTAGTCCCATCTTCATAGATTTCTTCTAAGGGACTACTTTTGCAGCTTCGGTCCAACGGGTCCAGCAGTTGACTATTAAAGATACACGTTTTCATGCTATGGAGCTTTTTAGCTTCATTTTTTACCGACAGTGGAACCTTGCATTTGTCATGCCATGACTTGGAATGTGTACTCTGGTGCGCTGACCAGCATCCCTGCTTATGGATGAAGGGAAGCATGAGTGCTGAGATACTACCAGGTTGCTCAAGTCTAGGCAGGACAAATCAAGATACCGGGGCTGAGTTCGAACCACGGACCTTCGGGTCAGTAAGTTTGAGCCTTAACCACTGAGCTATCTGGAGCTCTGATAAACTTTCATTCATACTTGTAGGACGGATTGTGCTGTTTACGAGCAACAGTAGGTCGCTTATTTCAGCAACCCAATGATGGGAAGACGCCTTAAACAAAATGAAGCACCCTTTGATAGCCTACCAAGCATTTGTTCGGCCACTTGAATAGAAACCGCGAACATAATGTCTCGAAGTGTCCTGCGAAGTGTATTCTGGCGATACAACTGTGTGTAACTACTTAGAACCAAAAACATCTACGTGATATGTGATACCCATTTTCATGTTCTTCTAGCCGTCGTTAAGTGTATTTTTTCTGCCTGACAGGAAATGTGAGGTCGATTTAAGGAAGGCGAACACTTTTTCACGTGAGAGATTTCATAGTATCCAACTTTTGTGTCGACAATGCTTGTCGATTCTCGCTTGTTATCCGCCAACAAATTGCTTTTCTCATTTCATTCAATAGGCCATCTTCACAACACTTTTATGATATGGCTGATCATCGCAGCTGTGGGGCTCTGCCAACCGATTCAGGGTGTAATCCAGATGTGGTCGTCACGGAACCTGCCTCAACCATGACGTGTTCCACCACAACCTCTGTTGTTACAACAGCTTCCTCTTCCACCACAGGTTGCTCAACGACCACTTCTGGATCCATCCACTCTGGTTCTGGATCTGCTGGTAGCTTGTCCCGAAGTCGACCTGTGGGAACTCGTACTTTCGAAACGGGTACAGACCCCCGTCCTTCTTGTAGTACAGGTGACCGCAATGGCTTCAATTCACCCCGCCATTACGGGGACACTAGAGACCAACCGGGCTCCACACATTCCACTGGAAGCTCACGTCATTCCCGTGTTCCCGAGTCAGGTGTCCGTTATGCATTGGATGATGCTGCGGAACTTGCCCATGCTTCATGGTATCAGCCCCATGTGCCTCGTGAAGTTGCTCTAGAAATTTTATCTAAACAACCGGTAAGTTGTATGGCTCAAGCTGCTTGGTGTTGTCACACAGTTCTCCAACAATTCTCTGAATGAATGGCACTGTTTGGTGCGCAACAAGAAACGGGAAGTCACTCTGAGCACTTGGGTGAAGACAGTGCAAAAATTAGGTAGGGATTCTACTATCACTTCCTCGGCATTTCTTTCAACCCATACCATGTGTATTGGGAATTCTCACTCCAAGGTCTACCAAATACCCGTCTGTTTTTAACAGTGTTTTGTGTTTTGCGGTTGAACATGCGACACTTGTACCTCGCGAAGATGAATTGAGTCAGCATGCACCACAACGATCTTGGGTCGTAACCATCAGAGCGTCACATGGGTGTCGGATGTTTCTGGTTGAGCTATTCACCGACCAAACAAGCTATGGTGCAACGGGATACTGAGACCGTTCACCTTTTGCGTCGTAAACTAACGAGAAGTTTGGTGCAGTTCCTTTATTGTACATAATTAGTTCGATGTGTTTGCTCTCCAAAAATGGATAGATTGTCCAACCACAGATGCGTGCACTAATATGCAGTGAACATATCTTGTGTACACTTGGCTCAATCAACAATATTTTAGAAATCAGAGTGGATATTATGCAGGTCACCGTCAGACTGCTGTATTCAGTAGAAGGAGAGAAGTGTAATAAATTCAAGGTAGGAACCTTCCTTTTTCCATGTTTCTACGTCATTCATGCGGTAGCTCATTTGGTCCTTTCCGGAGAAGTCTTTAAGCTACTTAACTCAAGGATCGATTGTTGATCAGGTCGCCGTTGATCTCCCCGCAAGTCCCCGTTCCTGTATTGTGATCCTCTAGAATCTTCGTAAGGTTCCTAACGTGGCTACTTCTGTCACAATTATCACTGAAAGTTTCGAGTAAATTGGTGGAGAGTTTACGTTTATCTGCCTGTCGAAACGTGCAATAAATTTGGCAGGATATACGTGGAATGATGTTACTTTATTTCTTGGCTTTTGGTCACGTATCTGTCTGCTATTAACGAACTCTGCTTAATCGTCGAGTCAGACGCCCTTTTTATTAGTACCTGTCGGCAGAGTCTGCCCTGGATGTTCCATGTTTCAGTGAATCCAAGGCCTGTCGATCATGCTACGTTGTATCGTTACCCTTCCTTAAGGGTGGGTTGAATGCCTGTTTCACATCACAGCGACCATATCCTATTCACTTCCACTCATCCGGTTCTAGTTTAGCTGTTTACTTCCAAATCAGTGGTTCTTAGTTTCCATTTAATGTACATATTTTTATAGTTCCTTTCTGAACACATCGCCCATACCCATTCATCACTCATCAATACAATTTTACCCAGCTATTCACACTCCAAACTTGTTTTTTTTCAAACCCCTTTCCAGCCGGGTAGTTTCGTTGTTCGAGACAGTGGAAGCCATGCCAATTGCTATGCACTATCGGTGCGTTTCGGCGAGGGAGCAGCCGCTTGCTCCCTATCCGGCACTCCATCTGGCGGATCATCTCGCGAATTGCCTGGTTTGTCCGTCTATCCTCATCCCGCCTCGGGAATTAGTCATTTCCTTATCCAGCGCACCCCGCGTGGTGGGGTGAGGTTAAAGGTATGTGTATCGGTCATTTTGTTAGTGGTACCACTTTTAACCATGTGTCTGTGTACGTGCGTCCATAATATTGTGTCTCGCGTGTTTATATTCATTCTCCTAGTCCCGCTCTGTCGCGCCTTGCCAGCTTGTATGCTTGTGCATACTTTCTACTTTCAAGTAGCGTGGACCGATCGACCCTGTGTAAAAGCGTTTACTTTCCCATTTAGGGAACTAAAAATTCACTTCCGGTTGTATATACAACAACACATAATTGTGTTGCTTGGGTTAACTTTTATCTATCCGCTTTTATCATGTGCATGCCTATTTGCTTTGTGTGCGGTTTTCTGTACCATCTATGCTTAGGATGTAATATACTATCTTGAATCGTGTTTGCCATCACACGGATCGACTTAGTGGTGTCGCCTAACTTGCTTCATCCTATTCAACTCTCTACTCTTCACTAAACGAATCATATTAGGAGTGCACTGGATCAGATTTACAGACAGATTACGTCACCAGCTGACCAGATACTGTTGTTTGTCCAGATGAGCGTGTTTTCACCTTCAAGTCGCTACACCTGTCAAATCCATGGCTTCTTATACTTAGCTGTTATGATTCCGGTTTTCAAGTATGTACTTCTTTAACCTAACCGATTGATCCCATATAAAGGAAAGTGATGCACTACCAAATACAATAGGTGAAGGTTAATTTCTTCTCGACACAACGTACTGCTCACAAGAGTGCTGAAAACTCCTCTACAGCCCACGATCTGTTTCGCCCTTCTTGGGGCTCATCAGGTAGGCACAGCCCTGTAGGTCCCTTCAATCTTATGCGCTACTTGAACACCGAACTGTACGCAATTGACGAAATACACTCATTTGCAAACGACGCTGCTTTAACGGGGGATTCAACTCGTTCCAACAGGAACTGTCGTTTATAGTATTTTACCTCAACTGAACATGCTGCACAGAGGCCGCCTCTAGTTTGGGTAGATGTTCGAAGTATTGCATTTTCTTGGTGAAGCACACTACCCGTGCTCGTACAATTTGGTGTTCAATTAGAACGTAAAATTGACGATAACTCAGGGACTGCGCCTGCTTGATGAATTTCAAGAATGGCTAAACGGGTCGTGGGCAGTTGAAGAGTTTTCAGCAATCTCAAGCATAGCGTTCCGTCAGCAATATCTCGATTACCGTACAAGCTGAAACATGAAGCTGCTTTTGTGCACCTCATTGGGTTGAAGGAGATGATAGACAAGAGATTCAGCTGAGATTCATTCGATTCTCCCTTTAACGCTATTTATGACTTTTCTCCCACAAATTTTAATCAACCATGGAAGATGCTCAAAGCAACTTACTTAACTCATATGCTATATTTGCAGTTGGTCAATCGTGTGCGATACTCTGCAAGATGTGCGCTAGCCTACTGTTTGTTTCGTATCAAGACTTTCCTTGATCACGACTCGGTCACCACATCACCCGCTTTGCCATTAGCTACGCGACGTATCGCTATTTAGATTCTCCTGCCTAATAAACCTGCCACGTTTGTAGAGACGGAGCGTTTTTGTAGTGCCATTTCTCCCAATTTTTTGTGTGTGTCAAACAGCGAGAAAGTCATCGGTCTTATAAAACATCCGACAGTTTTGAAGGAGATCCGCCTTGTATTCCTTGAAAGGATGCGTGCTCGAGTCTTTTATGGGGATGGTCCCTGTTTCGAAATTTTCTCGACCTGAAATATTTAGCAGCATTGCCATCCCCGCTCATGACCACCTTGTGACGAAAGGACCCTGCGTTTGAACTCGGTAGAAATGGAAGCACGTATGATTGGTGCTGAAGTCACTCATATCGCCTTGTACCATATTGCACCATTTCGGCATGTACGATGCAGTAAATTTGGCTTTCATTCACAAAATGGGATACGGTTTATGGAGTGGTGGTAACAGTCTACTACAACACAGAAATGACATAAATTAAATATTCTTTTAGACTCAGCTATCCAATATTGCTCCGATGTCTACCACAGCGCGGTTCTCTTCACGCAGAAACGTTGATAACTGTAGAGTGGCAACGTTTCTGTTTCTGGTGTGACCGATGAGATGTCCACGGGGACGCTTGCCGGATGGCCGGGTTGTGATGTGGCCAGGCACGAGGCACACGAAACTTTCTTGTCTGGTGACGTCATCGCTAGACCATTCATTTCTATACCAGGGGAATAACACGCAATCTGAGAAGTACTGGATAGACAAATATGCGAAAGACAACGTTCTTTATTGACTGTTGGGGTAGGTAGTAAAGGAAACACCAGATGCATGCAATCGGGGATGTGCCGTTTTCAGTTAGGGTGAATTAATCAATTCAACCAAATCTGTTCTGAACGATCTCTACTTTTAAGTTTCTTGTGCAAGAAATCATGGCTGTATCCATACACAGCCATATTGATTGTTTAGTTTCACGAACCAGTGGCTCTGTTATCCTTCGGCCCTTCGAATGCCGCTTCCAAGTTGTGTGAAGTGGGAGTCTCAAAAACTGAACTAATCCCTGTACAGTCATATGCCAGTTATGGCGGAAAATGCTGATAGTCTCGGTTGTTCACTTAGCAGTCGAATCGCCTTGCAGTCATAAACATTTCAACCGGTCGAGTTGATGTCGTCAAAACGGTCGAACCATTTGGGTTGCTCGCTTGGTTGACAAGTCATATTCGAGTATCACCCTCGACATCATGGCGCACTGCGCTACAACGACCAATAGCTTTCACCCTGCTATGGTGGTCGGAGTTGAGTACTGCAGCTTCTTCGCAGGCGAGACGGACCAGAATCCCGTTCCTCAAGGTACAGCTAGGCTGAACGTGAGTGGTCATATTGAGGGTATTGGTATTGTGAAGCGGTGTGTGATAGGGTGTGAAGACAATGGTGTTTGATTTGGTGTGTTGTTTGTAATCTTTCGTATTCCCAACGGTACGCAAAGGTCGCCGATGAAAACAGTGTACTCTGATCATCCAGCGGTTGACCGCCTTACTTAGTACGATTACTCTGACCAAGAGTCGAGTTCTGCTCTAAAAACACATACTGTGTATTATTTCCAGGGGAACTGTTCATCTGCTATGAATTTTCACCCGGGTGTTTGTCGGGAATGGAATCCGTGTGTGGGAGACATGTAGAGTGAACTTTTTCGGTTTGGGGGACGATCTCCAAAAAAATTACTGACTGATTCAATCTCACCGGATCAGACCGTAGTGACTACTGTTGGAAAACGTGTCATGTTGCTATTCAACAAACATGCGGTCGCTGAGTCGTATTAATTCCGATTAACGCAATAAAATTGTGTTGCAAATCAAAATCTTCCTATTTGTTTTTGATTTGGTGTGTTGTTTGTAATCTTCTTTCGTATCCGATCCCTGTACAAGTTATTCTTGTCTGTGTGCAGATTCCTCTCCCGTACTCGATGCTCATTGCGTGAAGATGGAGTCTATAGTTGACCATAAAACTCTGAAGTGTATTCGTCAAACCTAAATAACCATTGAACACTCTAGACGCCAATGGGAAACTTCTTGAATCCCTGTAGGTCTTATAGGACTTTTTAGCTACTGACGATTTTTCCAGTAGCTTCACTTTCACGCAAATTATCGGTTAGAGACGGAACATCATTCTGTTGCAGTAAAAGTTATCTTTTGCCTCCTCAAGTGCTTGATGCGTCCCCTCTCTTTTAGGGTCTCGACAAGGAGTGGCCTTCATTGTCATGTCTTGTGCTTCACTTGACCGTAATACCTGAAATGCTTCCTTGTGCGCTGACGATGCCGAAGGCTTCGGCGAATCCTGCATTTTCTCCAGATGATCACGGATCCGGTAGCACCCCATGCCCTCGTCCACACTTCGAACAAGCACCTGGAGTCTCGTGTGCACATTTTCGACCAATTCATCGTGCCGAAAACTCGTCCTTATTGGATGTTCCGTTTGGTGATGAAGATGAGGACTATCAACGCCTTTCAGACTTCTCGTCCATAATGGCCGACTTGCGATTACGACCTCGTGTCCCGATTCGATCGGGCGAGATGCGAAAAGCACGATGATACATTTGGGCCCTCCCGTTTTCAACTTGTGATTCAATGCTTAAGAGTATTCCTGTACAGCAAGCTTCTCTACACGCATGCGTTTTGACTCGGTACGAATATATCTTGGTGAAAAACCGACTAACGCTGGATCGCTTCCATGACTTGGTACGGTTTCCATTCTTGTCAATGGACGTTTTCCCTCCTCATTCATAGTCTCAGTTTCCATGTATCATTGTGCAATTTACTCTCTCAGCGCTTTGTGATTGCCAGTATTGGCCTTTCGGAGATCGCCATTCCGGATGCGCCACTCCTCGTTTATTTCTGTTCCTACTATGACCGATCACCTATTAGATCTGTTGTGTCAGAAAACCGGCAGGTACTTGTTCTCTAGCTTTTAGCCTATTGAGTTGCTCCGTCATATTGGTATGCCTGTTTAAATGCCAACTAACTGGTCCCGGTCTGCATGTGCTGTGTGCACCATTTCCTCTCACCCTACCGAAACTGGCAGGAATTATGCTCCACAGTGGTTTTCCACTTTCTTCCTAGGGAATTTTACCTCATTCAGCTTGTGTCCTGAAGAAATACATAAAATTTTGCCTCAGCGTTGTTTCACTCGCATGTTGAAGACTTACACTGGATGGTCTCACTCGCTTTAAAGATGTTATCGTCACTTAACCCGATGCATCCGCTAAATCAATCGTATATCATGTAAACTATTACCATAATACTATTTATTGTCGTCGGGGTCGTATTGCGGTACGCACAAATCACCCATCTGTAGATCCAACCTGTTTTTTGAGTAGAATTTACCTGTATAAGACCATGTGGCACTTCGATTAAGAGTTTTTCGTGATTTTTTCTCATGCGGATCATGTTAACGATAGCTAAAACTCTTCTTTCCTTAGGAGTCTTGCCTTTTGCTTTAGATAGCTTAGTGGTTAGGACCCTAGCTTACGGATCGGAGAGTGCGTGATTCGAACCCAACCTCAGCATCTCGACTGCTTCCTTCTAGGCTTGGGCAACCTGGCAGTATCCGAGCCCTCGCGCCGCATTCCGTAGGCATGACAGTTAGGCACAGAAAGGGTGCTACAGCTGATCCATTATTATTATCAATAATAATATCACATATTTGGGAAATGACCCCAAGTCTGTCAATTGGATAAAGCCGTAATGCATCTTAGTTCACCACCGCTGCAGCTTTTAAAGGCGCTTATTCTTGACGTGCTCAGTGAACCACCTTATTCCATCGAGAGAGCAAATCTACCTTGGTTAAAACTTATTCAACGACCCGAATGGGAATCTCGCAACTTATCACGTGAGGTTGACGTGCGCGTGATATGTAGATAGGAATTCGTTTTCGCAGATGTTAAATCTTGTGTGAAAGCAGCCTTCAATGTAATTGGGGATTTTTAAATTATCCGTTGATCAATTCATAAACAAAGGACAGTATAGGGACGGAACAATATCCAATGTGTGAACAAAAATCCTGTGTTTACCTTGTGATCTTGCTGTTACGTCATTGCAAATTACAAATTTACCATGACATTCGTGCACATTCCTCTTACTACTGATGACAACCTAGGGGTCATTTGGGATGGTCGATTTGTGCGTTTCCGGTGGCCCATGGAAAACTGTCATTCATCGTCTAGCTGTAACACCCTTCCGATGCCTAGCTGCCATGCTACCCGAAGGAAGCACGAGGGCTGGGATACTGCCAGGTTGCCCAAGCCTAGACAGGGGAAGTCAAGAGGCAGAGGTCGGGTTCGTACCATGGACTTTCCGGTCAGTAAATTCTCTCTCTAACCACTTGAGCCATCTCACTCCCTCATGGAAAACTGAAGTAGTTGGAAGTCTGTACTCTCCATTAGCAAGAATGTAGGAGTCAGCAACCGTCTCCTCTAGCTACAACATCGTTTACTTAGGAAACATATCATAATAAACACCTGACAGTATTGGTCGAATTGACGTTGACTCATTTTGGTACTTAAGACGAGTGACTGTTAGGTTTCAATGCGCGTGCGAAGAGGATCTTCGGGTGGAGGATAGTTCTTGGGGCGAGGGAAGTGTTATTTGTCTTTGGAGGTGATCAGCAGTAAGCGTTATCCATGAATTTGTGAAAAGCCCTTATTGTCTGTCAGCCTGGCCTGTCGCAATTTTCTGAAAGTTTCTCAAATTTTGGGTGAAATATGGAGCTCATGCACTCCTCGAATCACGTCTTGCTCAGCGTTAAGCTGCCAAGCTCCAAATCACAACACTGAACACTAGCTCGATTAAGTTTGACTGAATGTCGGCTTCATAATTGAAATTGCTGACATTCAAGGTTGAAGTTTCACTCCCATACGAATACTTGACTGTGTGCCACCTAATGGTTCTTCGCAGCAGTTTCTATGGATCTCTGGACTTAGGAAACTAGTGAGTCTTCACTGGTTTCCAGGTTGTTTTTGGTTGTATGAATTCGCACCGAGCAGAGTTTCTATCCACCAACAGTATCGATCGTTCTGAAGTTTGAATTATGTGAGGGGCGCGCCAGATTGAAGGGTGCCGAGAGACAGTGAAATGTCCTCCTAGGGGTGCAACCGAAAGCACGCTGTTGACCTTGAAAATACCATCAGTGGCTTTGTAGTGCGGCTATTGAAGCTGTCTGGAAGAGATTTGGTTGCCCGGAGGTGAGTTCTCAGCTTACGAAATTACAGAAGATTTGGATACGCATATGGAAGCATGGGAAAATATATTCGTCCTTCTATGCAAGTTAGGAGCCCTAGTCTTAGGTTATTTGTCACAAAGTTATTGTCACTCGGCTATAAGGCTCATTAGCGGATAACGCGGTCACGGAAAGTATGAGCAGAGCTAAGATGAACTCGAATTTTGATCGATTGTTAGAAGCTGAAAGAACTTAAGATCAGATAGGATGAAACGTGTTGGACGTTTTCCAGCAAACAAACGTTAAATCAGGAATCTTTGCTCGCTGATCTATGGAAAGCAACTCGTAGCCCGTAGGCTTGTTGGAAGCGGGACTCGACTCGTCGACTATCGTGTATCCGTAGTAGGGGACTTTTTCTCCTAATGGTGATAGTTATTTGAGTTCATCAGGTTTAGTTGAAACATAAACCCCACGATCCGTTTGACCTTAGAGGACGGATTTGTGCTCCTGAGCAGTAATTCCATGGAGACTCGGTGAAGTCTTCTGTTTTGCACCTGCTGGTAATGTTCCAGTAGGTAGAACGCTCACAACAAAATCTCACCTGAAAACAAAAATTGCTGTGACAGACGCGGGACTGTGCTGTGTTCTGAGGTTGGGCTGCTCCGGAAGTTAACGTTTAGCCCTTCATTGCAATGTTTCATATCGATCTTCCGGAACGATGCTGATAGTTTAACCAAGTTGGAAGGCGCTGACTGAAGAATCCATATAATATCTCCGCAGAAGAAACACAACACTTCCCATTTAAAAATTAACTAAACCAATATCTGTCATTGCGCGGAAGATCCCTCAGTCCATGACTGATTTAGTGGCCTGGTATATTGGATTCGCGGCTGATTTGTTCGTATTATTTCGTACTCTTTCGCACATGAGTTAACCATGCACACCTCAGTGGGCCTTACCGAAGAATTCTACTGGACTACTTAATCCTACAGCCCGCTGAAGGAAAACTAATGTGGGTCCAGTGTAATGGAGCTTCACCACATGGTGTTCGCGCAGCTTTCTTGAAGTACAATTTCCTAGCTGACGAATTGATCACGGCAGACCCAGACGATGACCCTAAGGTTCACCTGGTCTTATCCGACGTGGTTCTATCTCTGTAACAACTCACCTATAGGTACCGAAGAGCGTGCTGTTTTCCATGCCCAACTCAGTGGTATAAACGGAAAGGTGGCCAGCCCTTGACTTGGCAGAGAAGTATGAAGGAGATCACGAAACACTTGGGTGCTGTCGTTGATACTCGCCTTCCAGGATGGGGACCGCGTGATCCTCACTGTGCCTGGTTGGAGACACTACAAGATGTGGCTGCCAACCGATGGCAGTGGCTTTCTTGTTGTCAGTTTCTATCCAGATCGTCTGAGTGAGTGTCTGGACATATAGGCACCTCGGAATGATTGTAGTGAGCTAGCACCAGTCCCCGTCCATCTTTGCTCTTTTCTTTCAAATAGATCATAGTTGTACGGTAGTGAAGCATCGGCGTTGAACACAGTGGCATGACAAATTGGTTTGAAAGTCATCTCATCCACTGTGGTCCACTAGGATTTTCCCGTTTCAGCACTACTCTACCTTATGCAATACATTGTCCGAAGTCCGCGTATCATGCAGCTGTCCATTTAGCGAACTGGACTTAATAGGTCGTACAATTGTGTTGCTGGAATGGTACCATGTAAAAAAACCGTTCGCAACTTTGCTCAGCTGTCACACTGCTTTGGAAAACGGGTCTCAGAATCCGGTGAGACAACGTTGTTTCTAGGTCTATGGGAGCCGCTCATACGGTATTTGCTTGCAGCAGAGGCTTCACTGACGCATACCGCTTTGACCAGCAGGTAAGCCATTTGATGATATTAAAAACTCTGATTTCACGATGATTAGGTGAAGGCATGTTCACACAATTTAGTGATCATGACCGGGTTTCGAGTCCAAAAACTGTCCACTTCCCTCTTGTTATCCAACAGATTGCGCTTGATCCTGCAGTCAGAAATGCTTACGGGAACAAGGGTGTGCATAGAATTGAAGCTCCATTTGTACTAACTCCCACGTAGTGGTAAACCTTTTCTTGTGTGATCGTGATTTGTATTGATTGTCGTGCTGTTCATGTAAAGAAATAACGTCAATGATTACGTCTTGTCCCAACATCGTGACTTGGACAATACGCCCGATTTTTGTCATGATGTCAGGTAGTCAGTAATTACTTAATTGGTGGAGATTTATACAGATGCTTAAATGCAGCCAACATAATGGCAGTTGTACTCATTTCCGACAGGTTACTCTATTCACTCCGGCTTCCTTTACCCCAGTTATCTTGTGCGGTTGAGTCCATGGACACCAGCTTGATGAACGCTCGAAACGTGTAGTGCCGAGCGGAGTTGGACCCCAATTCCAACCTGGGTGACCTGGTTCATTCTGATCCTTCTCTGGCTTGGACTGATAGCACTGGAATGATGGAGACATCTGCGCATAAGAGGCACGTGTAGAAAGCATCAGTCCTTCCGAACAACTACAAATCTGTGATGACTTCTAGATTTCGAAAGCCCGTGAAGTCAGAATCGAAACTAGGATGGATTACCTTTCAGATCAGGAGCTCGTGGTTTGAGGGATGCTTCTTATTTGGCTCAGAACAGATGAGTGTCTATGTGTGTGGGACAGCTGTGATGTTCTGTCAAGCTAGGACTGATGGCTAACAGTAACGGCGGATACTACTGGCGAGCCATGCGAGTAATATATGGTTTCCAGTAGCTCTGTCTTGATCTATTGGAAGGTAGGATTTGTTACGGAATTTGTGGAATTGCTTTGTAGCATTCGTTTACGTTTGAGTAATGTCCAACGAATATCCAGGAAAGTTCAAGAAGGGGACGGGTATTCAGCTTTTTAAAAACAGGGTACATACGAGAGTTCTGCTTACTGTCCAGTAGTCTGTTCAGTTGGTTTCCGCAGCGACGGGCTTCTTCCTGCCACTGGCATGCCGATTCTTCTCGTCTCAGTGGAGGCTCTCACCAACGAACAATGGTAATGAGAAGGAACATAAGTGGACTGCGTAAATACGTCGTGGCTACCAATCGTGGTCACTACCATTTTCCATCCCATCATTGGTATAAAGTTGGCTTGCGAAGTAACATTGATACATTTATTTGTGGGTTTGTCAGGGGAATTTGTTACTTGACAGGAACCTATTTGTCACTGTACATCTGTTGGCATAAGTAAAAAAACGAATCGACGAAATAAGTTACAAATCCAGTCAATGTTGAGTATCACCAGGAGGCATGTTTCGCGCAGAAAATTCCTCATGGCTCGGTACGCTTCAACTTGGGTGCGTAAATGGACTTGCTTCTCATTTGTTCAACAGTCGTCCCCACACCATTCTAACTTGTTGTCCTTGTGGCGTCTGAAAAGAGAGGACCCGTTAGAATTGGTTGCTAAGTTCATGTCACTGTTGTGGTCACATAAGGAGCCACACACGAAAACGCAGATATTTTTAATGTGCTTCCCGACTATCATGATTCTGCGGCTGTAGTACATCCTATACAAAATTTCAGCTATTTGTAGGAGCTGGTGATTACGGTAGTGTTTCATTGAGGGCACAAATGGGACTTACTGTTTGCTTCGCAGCAGTTTGAACCTTCAATTTCCGGAGCACTCGTCTTGCAATTTCTCTGATTTCTTTATCCAAATCGTTCACACTTAGATGCGTGACCAACATGGATCCTGCTGCAACGGACAATGCTTCAATTATCTCTGTTTCTGATCGGGAGTTCGGTCTGAATCCTGTGCCAGCTCGCCAGTTTAATCGGCGATGTTGCTGTTCTAGAAGTAGAGCTAGTCCCCGCAAACATTGGCGACGTTTTTCCGGTAGCGTTTGTTGTTCTATTCCCCATATCATACTGGTCCATAAAGGTGGAAAAAAGCCGGTCGATTCGATCGATTGTGCAAATAATTCCATCAACGCCATTGTGCAGTGTACTGGAGGGCCAGCCGATAAAAGCATGGGCAGTTCAAATGTCTGATCTGTACGGAACGAGTGTTCCGTCCTCTGTCTAAGTTGTGCAGCAACTTCGCACATCTGTAGAGGAAAAAAATGAGGGATACGTGGTCTTCGCAGGGTATATACTTAGTTTGGTCGAAATCAGAAACGAACAGTTTCCTCCAGCGCAAGCACGGGTCCACACTTTTTTGGTTACTTCAGGTGTGTTCAAAAAGCTGCTTATTGTATGGATCACTATCCTCAAACTATCTCCTTTACCATTTATTGTTAGTCTCGATCATAACCTTTGAAGTAGAGCACTGGAACTTTTTCTACTATAAAAAAGAGATTATGTTTGGTACGGTGATCAGTTTCGATTCACGCACATTTCACAACAGACCTAGCTGATGTATGATTGTAATATTGATGGAAAAAACCCGAGTGAAACGACCGGGCTCGTGTGAAATGTTCCGGTTTTCAAATTTTCGGCTTTGAATCAAAATCTTCAAAAAAATACATATATAACTTTATATAATTCTATGCACCTAACTGTTATTCTGCCTCGAATTGTAATTTTCTTGATCCTACTCTGGGATGTAGACCTTTCAAGCCCACTGGAAAGAAGAAGAATAGCCAACTCCTCACCACAGGAAGTTCGCTTACATCACACATGCTACACAGCATTTGTCAAATCTAGGGCCAGAACACACTATAAGGCCAATAATTGGATAGTAAGAGGACCAGGTTACTGTACCTCCAATTTAATTCCGCTGTAGAGCCTATATTGGCTATATCATCGTCATCATTGTCAGCTGCAAGAACCGCGTACTTGTCGTACAGTGGTTGTAGCTGCCACAGTCTCGTTCACCGAGGATTCGGGAGGTGGGGTAGGTAGCTGCGCATTGGAGGCGGGAGCTGATAGATTGATGCGTAAATACAGCACTTTCAGTGGACTGTCTATTGGGGGGATTAGGGAGGGAACTATGCATTGAAAGCAATAGCTGGGACGCACGAGCGCCATTGAGGGCGCGACTGGGCCATGTCTGACAGTGTCTCTAACCATTGATTTGGCCTGTCTCGAGTCCCATCAAGGAAGACGGCATTAAGCAGCGCAGCTGAGCTTCCCGGTAATGGTTTTTATACTTCGTTGTCAAGTCGTTGTTTGACCGCCTCTGGCTCGTTTCCACCCTTCACGTGGTTTTGCGAAAAGAGCACATGGCCAAGTCAGGACAACCTATGCAGTGTGGGAATCGGTAAAGTTGTAGTTGATAGTAGTATATTTGAAACACCGAAGTTTTCAACCTATCTATATACCGGTGAATTGATGTGTACGGCTTTGAATAACCGCATCAGAACGGTGAAATGAACGATGCTAATCTAAAGTTGTCCAGTGAGTTTCAAGTGTCCCCTGCGATTCCTCACTAGAAGTTTATGATAGGCTGGACAGTCGATCGCCACAACTGAGACAGCGACGTCGTAGATGTCAACGTATGTACTGATGATAAAAACTAATGAGGACAGGTGCTTCCCCGCTCTTATGTGAACCAGTGAGAAAAATTGCGACATCATAGAGTTATGACTGTTCAAATGGGAGTGATGTAAATACCTTTGAAAAATGTTAAGGCGATCGAAAAATCATCTTTCCAGGAAAGTTTAGTCTATTCACCAGACTCTTCCGGAACGACGTTTAAGGACCAGCTATTTCAAATGCGCTTGCTTAGGTTTTCCTGGATTTTTCGACATGAATACCTGGCTTCCCGATCAGAAGACATGGGTTTTACCAGAAACAAAACCCAACCTTGAAATTGTTCCCAAAACAAGTGTTTTTTCACCCTCTCACCAAAAAGATGCGTGATATAGCTCTTCTGGCTTAAGATGGTTGACGCGGCTCACAAATAGGAAGCGTCGGCTAGTTTTCACTCTGTCGCTGTGCTCAGACTTCTTGAGTCTTACTGAGTCATCATGTACCAAATGACAAATATTCCATCAGAGGATGTATCTGCACCCCCCGTGGCCTTCAGTCATGTCTCATGACTGCGTTCATGCGTTCGTAGGTCCGCTTATACTGAGTTTTCAGCGTGAAATCCTCCGTAAGTTCCAAGTCTTACCTGTCGGTCGATTTCACACAATAGCTTGACAGCTTTCTTTGAAACTTCACTGTCTGCACTGTCGATCAGGGATACCACATCCAGCCAGGTTTTTGTGGAATATCCTGCAATTAGGGGTAGCTGTCGAAATTCAATACAGTCAAACGCCTGACCAGTGGACATCTGAGCATTGGCCGTCTGCTGGTTGGCACGTTTAACTTGATAAAGGCCAAACAGTGTCTGATACGAGCGTTTGAAGTAGGGCAGAGCAGATAACATCTGTGAAGCAGTGGGTCCTCTTAATTTCATTTGTACATGACCTGGATGGTGCAGAGATATTAGTGAATTAGGGAATTGTGTAGGAGTACTGAAGTGCCTTTCACATATAGCATAACCAAATAAGTCCAGCGCTTCTTTCAGAGGGGAAATACCTTTGGTTACACCAATATCTCTTTTCTATGCACAAGCTTCTTCCTAAGATAGATGGCTAATTTAGACTTTCCCCGCAGATTTTGTCACAGTTAACTTGTCCATCAGTTGGTATTAATGACGGTTCATGTCATTTTAGAAGAAGAAATGAACAAAATAACCAAATTAAAATTATGCAACATTGCGTCCCCGGGATTCCGAAACTGTGTCCAGTCGGGGATGATTTCTAGCAATAGGCTGGCTATACATACCTGTCACATGCTTTTTGCACTGTTAGTAAGATTCCATTTGTATTTGTCTGTTTCAAAACGGCCGTAATGACGATGAGAGAGAGTTCCTCATTTCTCCTGGACACAATACAACACATACAGGGCAATCTTGAGTATTCATGCCCGACATAGACTAGCACAGCATGGTCGTCTTGCATGGTGAATACTAGCCTTTGTGTTGGTCATCAAGGACTAGCGGTTCCTTGTCAGAATAGACTTTAACCACCGAACGCGACAAGTAGGAACGAAGATAAGTTATCATTTTGTATTCAAACAGATCCTGGTTTCAATCGAATATGAACAGCAACTAAAAGAATATATATCGTGCTGTAGGGTACATTATACTGTCTGCTGTATTCAGTAACTTCGAACTGTAATGCAAAGCTGCTATGTTCTTAATTACTGCAAAGCTAGTCAATCATGCTGAATTGGGTCAAGGGAAGATTGGTGGCGTCACTGGGTCATGTAATGATCGTTGAGTTTATGTACGTATAAGTATAAGTATACGGTGTTTTTACTTTTGTTTTTCCTTAGGCGATAATTCGCACTTTGGAGGGCCTGACAATATCTACTGTTTGCTTTCGAGGGATGTCTGTATGAAATGGAGCTCGACGGGAAACTTCAGCAACGAACTTATCAGATTCTTCCCTTGAAGATTGAGGCTTGGGCAGAGTAATGTACATTCACTAAGGAGATGTATATACACGGTGCGGTAACTGTTTCCTTCACTTTCGTATTTGGTTTCTAACATTCCTCGCTGAGGAAAGATCACCTTTCGGAAATAGGACGTGCTTCTTCCCACAGGGGGAGAAGACAAAGGCATGAGCAGTCAGGGTGAGTACCCCAAATCAAAAAAGTGGTGAAGCTCTTCGGGAATAAGAGCTGGTTTCAGGTCAGACAACACCTAACTGATGGAAATTACAAAGACGTTAACGACGGAACCAACATGTAGCTAGTGAGCACGAGTAAGACTGAAGCAACAAAGTAGTTATAGTCAACGAATCAATAACAACTGTTCGCCTAGGAATCATGTTTTTTCTATTACGAATCCAACAGACTCCTTTGGGGAATAAAATGCACGAATGTATGTGTTTCTGTGTGAATCCTTGGTAGTATCGAATTTTCTGAGAACACGCAAGTACTCGCGGTAAAAAAACTTAGACAAGGACAAGGAAAGCACCATAAAAATTTTAGTTCTACCTGTGAAGTAGACCACGTTTCAAACACTAAACAAGGTAAAACTGACCGAACTCTGGTCGCCTTAACCAACCGAGAAACGAAGAGTAATAAGCAGTTTGTGGCCGAACGTAGACCATCATTTATTCATCTTAAGCCACATAGTAGGGGTCTGTAGCCTAAGGGATTGAACTTGCGTATCTTATCGTCCGGAGCTTAACGGGTCCATATAATTCGGCCGAAAACAAAAGTGTCATTAGGAGCCGATGGGATGTAAATTAGACATAAAGAGGAGAACTGAGGAGACAAACTGGAGAAAGACATTTTTGAGCAGTTTATCCAAATTGAAATAAAACAAAAAACCTTGAGTTATGTGTGGACCTATTTGGCGATAGCTTCAATTCACATCTTTCTGCGTTTCATTGTGTGTGACCTGGTCGTGACAAGGAGATCAAACTTTTATAGCTTTATTTCTGAGTAATTCCGGAATGGCGTTTCTTAAGGGGAGGATCTACTGTAAGCATTAAGTTGGAGCCAACCTCGATTTTGAGTGTCGAGGGAAACCCCGCAACACAGACATCCCATAACACTCGCAATGGACTGCGTGGATTCCAATCCAGCCAGATTCTCACTAGGTTCCATGGGATAGTCAAACAAGCAATTTAAAATAAGATTTTGGACCTCAAACGAAAGGCCTTGGTCGGGCTAAATTTTTCATCAGAGGGCTTGTCCAAACTGAAAACTGCACGGAAATTTTTCATTTTCACGTCAAAAGTTGCATTACTGTTTAGTCAATTGCTTCTGGAGTCAAAACCGCACTGCAAACTGAATGGAGGCTTTAGGGATGTTGACGCCCAGCAAGTATGATTAAGCGACAATTGAGAGCGACATTGTGTTAAAACTCAGCAGGTGTGGGTTTGGACAACTGTTATTACGGGCAGACCAGGGGATGTGCAGTCATTTGAAGTTTTCTGAATATGGCAAATACAAGAATAGATTTTTAAGGAGGGCAGAGCTAAGTTGTGTACTGTAAAATGGCCTCTTTGTAGATAGAAGAAATGGGTAATCATGAAAACTCAAAGAATTTGTCGCAAGATGTAACTTCTGAGCTATTCACACCAGAATAGGTAAGTTTAAGATAGGAATTAACAGACCATTAAGAAGCTCAGATGCTAGCAAAGGAGTGCGTATTGAACAGAAGAAGTATGTTCAAGTTTGCCGACAGGGACTAAGACTCATGCTGAATGACTGACTTTCTGGGCGATGGAAACAAGCAATCTCCGTGTGAATGGAGCTGAGTGAGTGGAACTGATTGCATGCGGATTTCGGCAAGTCTTTTTGACACATGGAGGTGCAACGTTATTTTTCAAGTGTTAGCAACAGAAACGGTTAGAATCTAAAGTATGCATTTTGCCGGGCAGAAGTTTGGGCACTATTTCCCACCTCATTGCCAGATTTTCAAGAGACCCCCAAAATTTTCAGACAGAACCCAGGAAGCGCCAAGAAAGATGTCCTGAACCAGACCCAAAATTAAACAATTCCCTCAACCCATTAGTTGTAACTTTTGGTCCCTTAAAGTAGCCAGCAACTTTAGCCTAAATGACACCAGCTTGCTGACAGGTAAAAAGAGATCTCACTGATAGCTGTCAACCTGAATTAACAATCGATAAGCCGTTCAATCTGTTCACTCGGATTGGAAAGGCTGCTTTGACAAAACCGAATGGTTTTTTCACCACTAAATCCAGTGATTATCTATCGGGCTTTTTTGAAGCAATCGACTTCCGATCAGTTTCACTCTTCCTATTGAAAGTGAGATTGATAAGGCATAATAAATCCAGCAACTAAAACAGCTATTCTCCCTTTGTACAATCTGACGGAAAAATATCATCGGGACACCCCATAATATTATGAGTTAAACCCATCAGAGAGTCAGATCTAAAATCAACTGTTTCTGCTGAACCAAAGGGGTAGACTTCCAACCTTATCCCCGAACCCAACAGGGTCGTTTATGCCAATTTGACTGTCCTTAGCTGTCGTGCTTGCGGCGTAGGACTCGGATGTGCGAATCGTAGTTAGCACTACTGGTTACAGGCCTCAAACAGCTCCAGAAGCTGATGGTAAAGAAAGTGATCTGCAGTCACATACTCTTTGTGACAACTTTTACCC